GGGGACATCTCTCCTGTGTGGCTGCAAGTGGCTCCTTCCTCCTTTCCCCCAAGGGTCTCACCTGGTGGAAGGCTTCTTCTCCAGATCTTGCTGCCTCGTGCCTGGCTCCCAGCTTCTCACCGTGGGGAGGGAAAGCTTCCGCCTCTCCAGCAGCTTGCCAGGATGGCACAATGAAACTAGGAAAGGAGGAAGCTCTTCAGAGCAGCCGCATGGGCACTGCCTTTTAAGCTGGTTGCAGTCAGCCAGCATGGGCAGGGACCACCCCCAGACAGCACGGACCCTTACCTCCTCTCATCCTGCACTCTCCTGCAGCTTGCTGCTGCGAGGTGAACGCACTTTGGCCTCTGGCCTTGTCCTCACAGTCAGATGAAACCTGGCAAACAAATGACACGGGCTTGAAGAAGGCTGGCCTCCTACCCGTTGCTGCTTGCTGGCAGTAATCCTCCTGGTGTTGCACGGGACATGGCATCCCTCTTCCGTCACGTTCACGCATGGGGTTTGTTGTGAAGCTTCCCGCAACACCAGAAAAGGTAGCCTAAATTCCCCTCCACATGCAGGCAATTCTCTCTGAGGGGAATCGCGGCAGCACGGGCACAAGAAGCACAACCGCAGTGCCCCTCCTCGCCAGGTGAAGACACTCGTAGCCGAAAGTCAGCATGAGTTAACCAGGACCCAGTCTCTTCAGGATTTAGCCCCGACTGGATGCTGAGCGTGGAGACCCGACCGCGCACGTTCCAAAGGAGGAGGTGGGAAGCCAAGGTGCGGAGGAAATGCACTCACCTTGGGAACATCTGGATCGCACGAGCGGTGGTCTCTCCACTCAAGGCAGTCGGGTGTGCCGGCCACATTCTCTGCAAAGAGACACAGACCTGCTGGAGGGTTTCTGAGGCACTTTTCTCAGGGCTCTCATTGACAGGAAGCAAACCTGTCTCCCAAGCCAAAAGAAAGCCTTCTCTCCAAAACCCTCCTCCAAAGCCTCTTCCATCCACCTTTGCTCTGCTCTGGAGGAGCATGGCAGAATATTGAGGCTGTACAGTAACGCTGCCAGGCCTTTTGCAGCGGCCAGCATCCAGACGCTCAGAAGAGCTAATGGAGAAAGCAGCTAATGGGGCAGGCGTGGGGAAAGGCATCTGACTGGCCTGCCGTGTCCAGGCTGGCCAACAGCGGTCGCATTAATCACCCTTCCACAGGATTCCCAAAGAAATTGAAGTAGCCCTCAAAACATCACCAGCTTACACTGTGGAGCATTGCAATGAGGTCCTCAGAGCTCTCCAGACGTTTAACACAGTCCGGATAAAACTTCATGCACAGGAATCATCTACAGGTCAAAACACCGATGTCCCTGAAGGCAAAGGGGACGTGCTCCTTGTTCTTCAGGAGGCAACAGTACAAGATGATGGTCTCTTGCACACACTCCTGCACCACGTACAGTGGGAAGGAGGTGGCTTGCGCTAGCTGCAGGTAGTTCAGCTCGACCTCGACGTCATCTGCAAGGAGAAGCAACATCCTCAGTGCCACAGCAAGCCCAAGTTGCTTGCAGCATTCCGAACAAGGGCCTAGAGGAAGGGTCGCTAAGAGAAACAGCTCCGGGGCCACGGGGTCTTCTGGGGGAACTCAAGCTCCACCCTGACCGTTGGAGACAATCCTCTGCCTCTCCCAGGCCTTTCCAAAGAGCAGGGAGAACAAATCCTTCCGGACATGGGGCAGGACGAGGGGGCTGCTGCCTTCTCACCAGGGAGGATCTCAGGGGGACAGTACATGTACTCCAGCCACCCCTCATCAATGTCCAGCTGGAAGAACGGTTTGCGAATCAGGAGCCGCTTTTGCTTGACGTGGAATTGCTCTTGGAGAACAGCAAAGGTCCCGAGTCCCGCAACCTGAATAGCCTGCACACAGAGAAGACAGAAAGGCTGAGGAGGGAGTTCTTGAGAGACGGGAAAAGGGATGACTCTCCGAGCAGGGGGACACTGCTCTGTGCCCTGCCTGCTCCTGAGGGACAATGGGGCAAGGTGGGGCACTTTGGAAAGCTTTGGAGAAGAGCCGCATCCTCCGTTTCTTCCATCACCCCCCTCCCAGGATTTGCCACCATCCTTTGGCTAGGGAAGAGCCCAGAGGTTTCCAGCACACAGCTTAGGCCTGGGACTGATTATCCTAGGCACGGACCCAGGATATTCCCCCATCTCTCTGCTCGCCCTCTCCACCCAGGCCGCAGGGAAGAGTGAAGCCCTAGGGTGTGCCAAACCCCTGAGAAGCAGAGCAGATCTGGCCTTGGTTTCTCTCCCAGCTGGCCAGTAAGCTGCTCCGGGCACCCTGGGCAGTCTCAGTGCACTGCCGTGCTGCTCGGGTAGGGATTGCTCTGCAGGGCCCAGGACACCAGCCCACCTTATCCTGCTTCAGCGCTTCCAGAATTTGCTCGGATACAGCATCCCAGATAGCCTCAGTCTCTGGAAAGCAAGGAAAAGACAGGTCAGGCTCCAGGCCAGCCAGCTCACCACCTCTTGGCAAGCACCTCACCCAGGCGAGGACACATGCAGGCATACGCGAGCCCCCCAGAAAAACACCATGCGGGCATTCCTGGGACATTCCTGAGAGGCCTGTGGGAGCTGCAGGAAAGAGACTGCAGGCTCCCTGGGCCACCCCTTGCGAAGGGGCTCCTGACACCCTTACCTTTGGGGGAGAGATTCAGGAGCACTGGGAACTGGGAAACCATATCAGAGGCGATGGTCACCCTCCAGCAGCCCTCCATCTCGCTTGCTGCTGGCCCTCAGCTCAGGACAAGGGATGCCCGCCCTGGCTCCTCAACCACAGCTCCTCTGCAAGGTGCCCCTGCTCCTCCGCCCGTCAGCGAGGGTCGCCCAGTGCAAGCTTGCTGCCTGCTGACCCCACTCCTGGCCGCAGAAGGACAGCGCTGGGGAGCACCCAAGCAGTGCCCAGCAGGGACCAGGCTTTGCAGGGAAGTGCCGGCACTGCCGCTGCACCAATGCTTATATCCTGGTGATGCAGGACATCCTTCTGTGACATCATCACGTGTCATAATAAGCCTTATGACGTCAGCAGCATGGAGACAGCACAGCTCAGGAGAGAGACGAGAGATTTCCCTTCTTGTCCTGAGAAACAGTCACCTCCCTTCTGCCCAGTTCATTCCTAGCGGTTCCTGGCTCATCCACCAGGAACATCTCCAAATTCTGACAAAGGCCACAGAGTAAAGGAAGTAGAGCGCTGGAGAAGTCACTGCTGTGTTCCTCCCCATTTTCTAGGCAGTTTGCTAAAGTCTGTCTGCCAATACTCTCCAGGGCTGCAGGCCTCCCAGGGTCTATGAGTGAGTGGGCCTGTGCAGTGCTGGATGTGGCTGGGCCCCAAAACCTCATCTCTTTCCCTGTGCTGCAAAGCAGCTGGACTATGACATGCATTTTGTAGGAGGAGTGTCAAGACACGGGTTTTCCTGTTTGCAAGTCCCAGATCCTGGTGAACATCACCTAGGTCGGCCCATCTGGCAGCTGTGCACAGAAGATGCCTCCAAGAACCCATAGAAACCTCGGGAATGTTTGCACCCTGCAGTGTCCCTTTTCTGTGACAGTCTGAGTGATTTAAGGCCCCCAGGGTGACATGGGGTCATTGAAGTCATCTTAGTCCAGTGGCTTCCACAAGACTGTCTGCTTCTTCAGCCTGACTGCAGGCATTTACCTCTGACCACACTGCCACCCTGACTGGATCTGCTCTGACCCTCACCCACAAGGGCTCCCCCACTCTGCTGCCCATCCCATAGAGGAGCTCCATGCATCCAGACAGATCCTTCACATGGAGGGCAACCCCCTGTTGATCATCCCCGCCTGTCTCTTCTGAAGAATCTGCCCCCATCCAGCACAGCACCCCAAGCTGGGGGACCTGTCCCCCCACACCTCAGCAGCTCTTCCATCAATGTCCCAGCCCTGTGACAGCAGGCGGGGATCCAGCTCCTCCTGCCTGTGCCCCAGGCTGAGGGCATTGGGGCACATCTGGGCTGCAGCACCTCAGCTGTGGCACAAGGGCCAAACTCAGACTTGTCCCAGACCTTGTGCCAAGAGCCTGGGCATGAAGAGGCTTTCCTTCAGAGCAGAGATTTGCTGCCGTGGATGGTGGATGGGCACAAAAGGATGACTTAAGGGATCCCAAGAAGGGCAAGGCCTGGTGTTCCTGAGGCCAGAAGGAAACAGGCCTGGGCTGTGCCGCTCTGACAGCAGAGGGCCTTTTGTGGTGTTGGTGCAGCCCCTGAGGGCCAGTGCTGGAGCTGGGGCTGATCTTCAGGCAGGAGAAGGGGCTGCTGATTTCCCTTGATTTTCCCCCATCTCCATTAATGATCCTGAAGCTGAGAAAAGGAGCTCACCTGCAGCTGCCCATGTTATTCACACCTAAACTGAGTGCAGAGGAATCCCAGCTCCCGTGGGTTTGTGGCAGGCATGGGAGGGATCTTTGTCCCATTCCAGCCCCAGGACAAAAAAACAGCATGAGATGTCTTAACTGACTCTGCTGATCCCTTCCTTAAGCAGGGGGCTAAAGGAGTTACTTTTATGACATGCCTGGGTGTCCCTTCATCAACTGGGATGAGAAGAGAAGACTGCTACAGATAATTGTTTTTGTGCTAAGAGAAATGAGCCTGCTGTCAAGAAGTGTGTGTGCCCAGGGAGGAGGGAAGCCCAGGGATCCCTTCAGGCTGTTTCCCAGCAGGTTCCCCTGCAGCCCCAGGGCCATGTGCAGGGAGCCTGGTGGGGGGCAGAGCAAGGGAGGCCTTGGGCTGGGCCTCTGCTGCCTGAGCTGGGCCGGGCTCCTGGGCCCAAGGGGAGCTCCTGGCAAGCGGCAGCGCTGCAGAGAGACAGCTCTGCCCAGGAGCAGCTCCTCTGCACAGCGCAGCAGGGCTGGGGGCACTGCCTGCAGAGACACAGTGCTAAAGGCAGGCAGAAGTGGCAGCATGCCCAGAGCTCACTGCGGGAGAAGACTTCCCAGCCCTGCACCCGGTAAGTGTCTGGCTGGAGGCAGGAGAAGCCGGGGGTGCAGGCAGGGGTGTCCAGGGCTGTGGTGCAGAGCAGGGTCCCTGCTGTGGCCCAGGGGCTGTGTGGCGGGGCAGGGCCTCTGCCGCCTGCCAGGCTCAGCACTCAGCCTGCCCGGGGAGCTGCCCAGGGCGCTGCGGGGAGAAGCTGCGGGTGGAAGGAGCCCCCCCGGCAGGGCAGGGTCCTGCTGCTGCTGGGAGGCTGCTGCCTGGGGCAGCCTGCTCACAGCTCCACAGCACAACCAGCGTGTATCTAAAGGGTCTTTGCGAGAGCCGGGATAAAGTAGGGGATTTCAGCTTCAGTCACAGCTTTTCTGAGCCTCCTGAACTTCCAATCTTCTCTACTTGCCTCAGTTGTAATAGAAATATTTGCTGTTAATTCCAGGAAGTGCCTGAGACTCCATGATGGCTGAGAGGTTACAAGGATCTTTTCCTGCCCCTCAGCCCATAGAAAGCTCCACCACCCCTTGCACAGTGTCAGCAGGGTCTGTGTGCCCTGGGCTCTAGGACATGTCCCCAGCGAGCTGCCCCTGGGCAGAGCCCTGCTGCCAGGAGGTGTCTGCAGGGCAGAGCTGAGCACCCAGCAGGTGGGATGGGGGCTGTGAGCTGCAGGCAGGAGGCGTGGGGACAGAGACCCAGCTGCAGGCAGGGACAGCTGCAGGCAGCAGAGCCATGGGCAGGGAATGACAGGGAGCTGTTCCCAGAAACTACATGGCAGAAGGGAATTTGGCCACATCCATTCCATCCCAGTACTGCTGATGCTTTCCATTGCCTTGACTGCCATCCAGCAAAGCCTCTGCCCCCACAGCTATGGGATCTCATGCTTTGTTGTCCCCATGGCAGCAGGACCCTCAGAACAAAGAACACCCTCCCAAGTACCGATGTCTCACTCATTTTCCTGCCTCCCTCACTAGGAACCCTGGGCCATTTTTCTGTTTCCCCTCCCATCCATCCTGCCCTTGCTGTTCCCCTCAGATTCCCTGGGGAGTGGGTTTAAAGATAGAGCTCAAACACCAGAATACTGAGTCGTGCTCTGGATGTGCATCCCTGGGAGCAGAGTGCCCAAGCTATTCTAGCCAAAATGGCTCTGGTCCCAGCCTAGTGCTGGGAAATAATCTGTCTCTGTTCAGGTCACTGTGGTTTATGAACGTCCAGCAGAGGTTTTCCTGGAGTTATCCTGCTGTAGGATGTTGAACAGCCCCTCTGAATTATAGGTACACTGCATCTGAATGAAACTATGAATTTAAGAATGGGTCACCACCTTTCCCAGCAGTGCTGAATCCGATGGAGCTCACGTGCAGAGGTCGTGGCTCCAAACAGTGCTCAGCCAGCACAAACCGGAGCTTCATCCAGAAAGGAGAATGAAGATGCTGTTGAGAAAGCGCATATTTGCGGAGGTGGGTGAGAAGGGAAGGGTGTTGCTGAAAGGACAGAGATTTGCTCAAAGAAGTCTGCCCAAAGTTTTCCATGTGCTTTTCTCTTTGGACAGGCCCCAAGGCCAAGAGGCATCAGATGTCCAACAGCAGCTCCATCACCAAGTTCCTTCTCCTGCCATTTGCAGTCACACGGGAGCTGCAGCTCCTGCACTTCGCGCTCTTCCTGGGCATCTACCTGGCTGCCCTCCTGGGCAACGGCCTCATCCTCACTGCTGTAGCCTGCAATGACCGCCTCCACACCCCCATGTACTTCTTCCTCCTCAACCTCGCCCTCCTCGACCTGGGCTGCATCTCCACCACTGTCCCCAAAGCCATGGCCAATTCCCTCTGGGACTCCAGGGCCATCTCCTATGCAGGATGTGTTATACAGGTCTTTCTCATTGTCGTCTTGTTTTCAACAGAGCTTTCTGTTCTCACCATCATGTCCTATGACCGCTACGTTGCCATCTGCAAGCCCCTGCACTATGGGACCCTCCTGGGCAGCAGAGCTTGTGCCCAGATGGCAGCAGCTGCCTGGGGCAGTGGGGTTCTTTATGCTCTGCTGTACACGGCCAATACATTTTCCCTGCCCCTCTGCCAAGGCAATGCCTTGGACCAATTCTTCTGTGAAATCCCCCAGATCCTCAAACTCTCCTGCTCACACTCCTACCTCAGGGAAATTTGGGTACTTATGGTTGCTATCTGTTTAGCATTTGGCTGTTTTGTTTTCATTCTTTTTTCCTATGTGTGGATCTTCAGGGCTGTGCTGAGGATGCCCTCTAGGCAGGGTCAGCTCAAAGCCTTCTCCACGTGCCTCCCTCACCTGTTTGTGGTCTCCCTCTTTGTCATCTCTGGCTTTTTTGCCTATCTGAAGCCCCCTTCTATCTCCTCCCCAACCCTGGATCTTTTGGTGGCAGTTCTGTACTCGGTGGTGCCCCCAACATTCAATCCCCTCATTTACAGCATGAGAAACAAGGAGCTCAAGGGTGCTATTAGGAAAGGAATTTCATGGATATTTCTGAATGGTGATAAACTTCCCCTCTTTCTCCACAAATGACTTCCTGGATATAATTTGAAGGCCTGGTACTTGTTTCATTAAGAATATTGGTATTTTTATCTTTATCCTTAGTTTCATTTCCATTTATTACTTAGAAAAAAAAGGCTTATTATTCATCCAGCATCTCCTGAAGTATTAAACTGCGCTGTTTACTCTGCACAGTTTTTCCCTCCCTGCATGTCAGCATCAACTCTCCTTTAGCATCTGCTTAATAAAACAGCATCTCTCCAATGCACTGCCTGAAATCCTGCCTCTTCTTTCAAAGCTGGTGTCAGCAATAGGTCTGAGCATTGCGGTGGTTTCACACTGATGGTCAGCTGAACTCCACCACACCACTCTATCACCCCTGCTCCTGAAAGGTACAGATGAAGAAAATAGAGTTGGAAAGGGCTGCAGGGTTTATACAAGGTATGGGGAGATGACTCATCAATTGCAGTCATGGAAGCAGACCCTATAAGGAGATTAAGATAATATATTTACTAACAGACTGGAGCAATGAGAAAAAAAAAAAAAAAGTGAACTAAAAAGATATCCACCCTTCTCTCTCCTCCTCTACCTGCTTTCAGCTGTCAAAACCTGCAAGTCCTGGGCTTAGGGAGGGAGGAAGTGGGGGGCTGGAGAGGGCTGGTGGCTGCTGTGAGAGCCCTTCCTGAGGGTCCCACTTTGCTAAGGGACAATGGGGCGGCCAGGACTCTTGGGTCCTGATGCTAGGGCTGCTCTGAGCCCAAAGGCTGCTTTAATCACTGCTCTGCATATCCTCATAAAGATGGAAAATCCAGGGCCAGATTTCCCTGCGAGATATCAGATCATGTCCTGGGTGCTGAGATGCCATCCTTGGATGGCCACAGCTCTGGTGCTGAACCCCTTCCATTTGCCTTCTATTGTGGTTTTACTCTGCTAAGCAGCTCAACTCCACCATAACCTCTCTCTAACTCCTTCTTCTCAAAGGAAAAGGGGGAGAAAATATGATGAAAGGTGCTCAGGGTTTGTTCTCCTAGTAAGATCAGATCAGCCACCAAGTTTCATGAAATCATAGAGTCATAGAAGGTTGGAAAAGACCTCCAAGATCATTTGGTCCAACTGCAACCCCCTGTGTTGTCACAGTCACCAGTTATTGTCATGGGCAAAAATGAATGAGCGTAGGGAAATTAATATAATTTGTTGCCTATCACCAGCAAACTAGAATAGTGAGGAGCTACAAGCAAACTAAAACCCACTTTGCCCTCCATACATCCTCTTCTCCTTACACCCCCCAAATAGCTCAGGGGAATAGGGAATGGGGGCTGCGGTCAGTCCATGATGCTTCATCTCCACCGCTTCTTCAGGGTCACTATCTGCCCCTGCTCCAGCATGGGATCCCTCCCATGGGATGCCGTCCTATCCAAACTGATCCTGTGTGTGCTTCCCACAGGCAGCAGCTCTTCAATAATTGCTCTTACATGGGTCCGAACCGTGGGGTCCATCTGTCAGGAGCAAACTGCTGTCCCACAGGCAGCAGCTCCCCCCAGATCCCCAGATCCCCTGCTCCTGTAGGGGCTCTCCATGGGCCGCAGCCTCCTCCAGGCCACATCCACCTGCTCCACTGGGGGCTCCTCCACGGGCTGTGGTGTGGAGATCTACTCTGCCATGGTACCCATGGGCTGCAAGTGTTGTCCGTATGTTCATGCCCCGTTGGCCCCACCAATAAGCACGTACAGTCAGAATGCACACAAAGGTCTTTTAATTAAATAAGTAATTATAGAACTCTGCAGAGTCAGGTTTCTTGGTGAACTTTGTAAAGCAAGCATACATCTAGTTTGAATCACCATTTTTTACACACAGCAAACTTGAGAAACTCTCTCTCTGGCTACTTTTAATTGGCTGTTTCAGCTTTCCTAACTTTCCTCTACTGAGTTTGTGCATTACAGAGGACCAGGCGCAGGGGGAGGAGGGGTATTGGGAGGCAGGTGGGGAAAACACCATATTCCACATTAGCATACATTACCATTTTTACTGGTGTGATTTTTAATATGTTAATGACCCTTAATGAGCAAAAGGTCAGTCTGGAATCTTCCTGCAGTTGTTTTTCTCCTTTTTGTTTTTTATCTTCCATCCCTTATCTCCTTTGCTTCTGATATCTCAAGGCTACCTGTCTCCCTGTTTTCTTTAGGTTTCACAGAATCTTGGAATGGCCAAGGTTAGAAGGGACCTCTGAAGATCATCTAGTCCAACCCCCCTGCCAAACAGGATCACCGAGAACGCATTGCACAGGATGGCATCCAGGTGAGTTTTGAATATCTCCAGAGAGGAAGACTCCACCACCTCTCTGTGAAAGTGTCACTCTCACAGTAAAGAAGTGCTCCCTCATATACAGTTGGAACCTCCTGTGCTTCAGTTTGTGCCCATTGCCTCTTGTCCTGTCACTGAGTACAACTGAGAAGAGTCTGGTTCCATCCTCCTGACACCCTCCCCTCAGATATTTATACACATGGATGAGGTCTCCCCTCAGTCTTCTCCTCTCCTATAACAGGCCCATTAATCTAATGTTCCAGTCCTCTAATCAGCCTAGTAGCCCTCCTCTGGACTCTCTCCAGTAGTTCCATGTCCCTCTTGTCCTGGGGAGCCCAGACCTGGACACAGGACTGCAGGTGTGGCCTCACCGCGACTGAGTAGAGGGGGAGGATCACCTCCCTTACCTGCTGGCAACACTCTTCCGAATGCACCCCAGGATCCTGTTGGCCTTCTTGGCCACAAGGGCACACTGCTGGCTCGTGCTCAGCCTGCCGTCCCCCAGGACTCTCAGGTGCCTCTCTGCAGAGCTGCTCTCCAGCAGGTCACCCCCCCAGCCTGTTCTGCTACTTGGGGTTATTCCTCCCCAGGAACTTTCCATATGGAGTTTGCTTGTTCATTTGTTTGATTTTCCTTTCTGGCTTTGTGATAATGTTGCCTACACAGAAATGCCCTTCTCCATTCCCTTGTATCTAAGTATTCCCATCTGTGTGATCCATGGTTTCTCTAAACAATGAAACAGGCTCTCTGTGTATTTAAACCAAACAAATCCTGGTCTGAGACCCATTCTCAGCAGATCAGGAGTGAATGGAAACTGGGGCTGTGGTGGCAATGCCCAAAGCCCTGCAGCAGCCTGCAGTGAGCACTGCCGTGGGGCCAGGCCAGCCTGGGAGGTGGACAGAGGACAGGGAGCTGGGAGAGCTGGGGGCCAGCTGGGCCAGGCTGGAAGCTGCCCAGCAGAGAGAAACATCTGTGTTGAGCTGGGATGTGCAGCCACTCAAGGGGAGGACACCCACTGCTGGCTTTGGGTCGTGTGGCAGGGATGGAAGGACAGGCTGGTGCAGGAGGGAGGAGGCCGGGCTGTGCCCATGCATGGCACAGACAGAGCAGGGAGGTGGCCCAGGGCTTTCGTCACCTGCAGCCTCTCTTGTCATCCATGTCCAGCACTGGCCGCTCCCCCCAGGTTTAGGGGTGCATTTGGCTGCCAGGCCATCTCCATCCTTGTGCCAGGCTCAGGGCCTGTGTCAGGGGAACAGCCAGCCCTGCTGGCCTCTGTCCTGGCCCAGAGCCCTGAAGACTTGGAGCAGGGCTGTCTGCAGAGGCTCCCGTGGGATGTGGATGGGTCAGGGCAGGGGCCGGGTGTGGCATAATGACCACACGGACACCAGGGTTCTTTTAGGATCTGTAACTGCTACATCTTTATTGATGACATAACTTCAGCTCTTTCTTACTGAGGGCCTAACTTCATCTCTCATATTGAGGACATAACTTCATTATCCCTTATCGAGGACAGGCTCCCTTCTTATACCATTCGCCCCCCAGCAGTACTTTTCCACTGACTATTCATTGGTCAACAACTTTGCCCTGCAACAGCAAACACCCAGCATCTTCCATGCCTTAACTGGCTGGAGAACAAGCAACCCCAGACAACAAGGGGTCTCCTGAATCACCCTTCTTTGTTCCCTCTAAACTCTTTACATTCCTGATGGTCTCATCATTAAGAGTCCGATGTTATCACCAACCATGGGGCTTGTCGACCCCCATGGCCACACTCCCACAGCTGGGGGCTGGAGGGGGATGCAAACGCAGGAGGGCCATGGCAGGAGGGGACCCCAAGTGTGCCATTGGGATTGTAATAGCAGGAGCTTGACCCAACCCTGAATGTGCACT